TTGAGAGTCCCTTGGACTGCAAGGAGATCCAACCAGTCCATCATAAAGGAGATCTGTCCTGGGTGTTCTTTGGAAAGACTGATGTTGAAGCTAAACTCCAATACTTTGGCCACCTCATGCGAAGAGTTGACTCATTGGAAAAGACCCTGATGTTGGGAGGGATTGGGGGCAGGAGGAGAAGGGGATGACTGAGGGTGAGATGGCTGGATGGTATCACCGACTCGATGGGCATGAGTTTGAGTAAACTCCGGGAGTTGGTGATGGATAGGGAGGCCTGGCGTGCTGCGATCCATGGGGTCTCAAAGAGTCGGACATGACTGAGAGACTGAACTGAACTGAACTGAACTTGCTAGATTTAGATTAGATACAGATATAACATCACCATTTGAAATCGTTATATATTTATTTTTTTAAAGCTGAAAAGAGTTGCTGAACTTCCAGATGAATATTTTGATACATGAAATATTTGTTTCTAAAGCTTCCCTCTGAATAAAGAATATGCAAAAATATCAGGAGACTGTAATAATATGGACTTGTAAATGCCTTCTTCAATTTTAGGAGCTGAACTACAAATAGATCTCATGTCATGTGTGATAAAGTCTCTACTCCTACACATTTCACATCTACTCATCAGATGGATGAGTAAGTCATTATTCATATTATTTCAATACTTATAATATTTATAATATGTCACAATAATTCCTTTAGTTATTTATTCTTATTTATCTAATTAGTGTATTCATTTTATACATATCTCCTCTATCATTTATCTAATGATGAGCTGAATTTATTGTCAATAATTTATTTTTAAAAGAAGAAATCATAACTGTCATATTTCTGAGAGCTCAGGCAACTTATAAAAAGAGGTGATTGCTTTTATATTCAAGGAAATAGACTGGCTTGAATATAAATATGAACTGGCTGGCTGTAATGTTATTGGATCACACTTTTTCATTTAGAACATTGGTTTCATTCTGCCCTCTTTTTGCGCTGGGATTTTGTGGATAATTACTGCAGTTAGTTTAGACCAGCCTAACTTCTTCCTCCTGTGGATGACATGTTTTTGCTGTTTGAATCCCAGCAGATGTGTTTATTTTTCCTAGAGGGTAAATAACCACAAAACATAGTTGATATAATTGCTCTATATCAATTTTTCCTGGAATACAAAAAGGACATTTATTTTTTTAATTCAGTTATTCCTACACTCCAGGGAATTTTTCCATGAATTCTGCCTCTGAATATCTTTTCTCTTCCATTTATTTAATTCTACAAATAGAGGCTATAAAATATCTATATGTTCAATTAAAAATTATATATATAGTCATTAAGAGCTATAAAAGTTGTCATTTTGTCTGAATTCTGTTAATTATTGCAAGATATTCCATTTTCAGTACTTTGTACTTTCATATAAGGTAAAATCCTTTAGCCAGTTTTCCTTGTAATACTAGTACTATTTTCCAAGCACTTTTATTTTTCATGTGTGCTTACTTATTTTCTTGTTGGTTATGATAAATTTTGTAAGCTTGCAGATATATTTTTCACTCTCAAATTATATATTCAACTCTGAAAGCCCCCTTTCATTATTATAAGAGATCATTTGAAATATTGCAGAAAAGATGAAAGTTCTATCTATATCTCCATAATTTCAAACTTACATTTAAAATTTTAAGACTCTTACAAGTTAGTAAGAAACTAGATAGAGGAAAAAAAAAAAGCTAATGTCTTGAATAGCAAGTGAAGTGAAGTCGCTCAGACTCTGCAACCCCGTGGACTGTAGCCTATCAGGCTCCTCGATCCACGGAATTCTCCAGGCAAGAATACTGGAGCTGGTTGCCATAGCAGCTTCCCCAAAAGAAACTCCAAATGCCCAATACACTTACAGAAAAATGCCTAAAGGCAGTACTAGGACGCGAGAGTTGGATGTTAACTATATTTTAACATCTTCAATGATCAATCACAGTAAGTCAAGGGCACAGTGCTAACAACAAGAGCGGATAATGGTATGAGATAAGGGGCAATAAAAGAGCAGGAAAGTTATTTGTTAGTAAGATTCATGGCATCATCATGCAATTGTTGGAAGAAAGGTGAAGGGTCAAGAGAACGGCCTCAGGAAAGAAACTATTATGTTCATTGAATGTGGTGTAGTAACCCCTGGGCTCTTCCATAGGCGTGACAAGACAAGATGGCTTTTTCTTTCAATCAAGGTAAAACCTTTTAGCTAGTTTTCCTTTAAAATACCAATAATATTTTCTAAGTAAATTTATCTTAGTTTTTCAAGTAAAATCTTCAAATTCAATCATGTTTTCACTGTAAATTTTTGCTAAGTTTCCTGTCACACATTATAATGTCTTGTTATGCCTGTTCTTTTCTGTCTTTGCATTATCTTCTAGAATATATTGTGCCATCTGCCAAGTGATTTCAGTTTAAATGTTCTTTATGTATTATTTATGAAATAATAATGATCAGCTTCATCTGCTATTCACACCACTTAAATAACATTGTCATTGAACAGACTACTCATTCTTTCTATTCAACTTACATATGTATGTTGAAATGCATTTTCTTAACTTATAGACAGCCTTTTTCCAAAAACTGCATGGAAAATCTGAATCTTTAATGTCCAACACAAGTGCCATTTCTGTGCCATATTTTAATCACATCAGATCTGTTCACACAGACCCTTCCAAACCCTTCAAGATCCAGAAGAAAAATCTGTTACCCTTGTGATCCTAAAGAATTTTGTGCATACCACAACATGCTACCTTTCCCCTTACATATTGCTAATTACTGTGCTTGAGAACTTTATGAGAAATCTTCTTTGTATAAATTTATATGCAGTGTTAGGATTATGTCTAGCCCATAAATGCATAATCAGAAAACATGTGTTTAATTGAATTGAATAACACATGAAATGCCTCCACTAGAAAAAGGCGGGGAAAGAATTTAGAAAAAATAGGAAAAAAAAATGTATCTAAAGCTAAGAGGTAGAATGTATAATGTAGGGTTTCTACCCTTTATAAGGCAATCCTTGTCTGGGGACCCTGGAGAAGGAAATGGCAACCCACTCCAGTATTCTTGCCTGGAGAATCCCATGGACTGAGGAGCCTGGCAGGCTACGAGTCAGACACAACTTACCAACTAAACCAGCCCTCTGAGGAATTAACAAATACTTATATACGTATCTGTGACTGAAAATCTTCCACATGTGAAATACCTCATCCTTAATCCTAGGAGGGTTGCACTTGATAAGTATACTATCATCATAAGAATTAAGGGAACTTTCATTTTCAATATATAAGGAAGTATTTAATTTTCATTTTGTGGACAAGCAGCAATTTTGCTAATTCTAGGAAGATACTGACTTTGGGTATGCATTTCAAAATGTAAAGAAGAAATGTAATGTCCACTTATTAAAACTTATAGACAGCCTTTTTCCAAAAACTGCATGGAAAATCTGAATCTTTAATGTCCAACACAAGTGCCATTTCTGTGCCATATTTTAATCACATCAGATCTGTTCACACAGACCCTTCCAAACCCTTCAAGATCCAGAAGAAAAATCTGTTACCCTTGTGATCCTAAAGAATTTTGTGCATACCACAACATGCTACCTTTCCCCTTACATATTGCTAATTACTGTGCTTGAGAACTTTATGAGAAATCTTCTTTGTATAAATTTATATGCAGTGTTAGGATTATGTCTAGCCCATAAATGCATAATCAGAAAACATGTGTTTAATTGAATTGAATAACACATGAAATGCCTCCACTAGAAAAAGGCGGGGAAAGAATTTAGAAAAAATAGGAAAAAAAAATGTATCTAAAGCTAAGAGGTAGAATGTATAATGTAGGGTTTCTACCCTTTATAAGGCAATCCTTGTCTGGGGACCCTGGAGAAGGAAATGGCAACCCACTCCAGTATTCTTGCCTGGAGAATCCCATGGACTGAGGAGCCTGGCAGGCTACGAGTCAGACACAACTTACCAACTAAACCAGCCCTCTGAGGAATTAACAAATACTTATATACGTATCTGTGACTGAAAATCTTCCACATGTGAAATACCTCATCCTTAATCCTAGGAGGGTTGCACTTGATAAGTATACTATCATCATAAGAATTAAGGGAACTTTCATTTTCAATATATAAGGAAGTATTTAATTTTCATTTTGTGGACAAGCAGCAATTTTGCTAATTCTAGGAAGATACTGACTTTGGGTATGCATTTCAAAATGTAAAGAAGAAATGTAATGTCCACCTATTAAATCTAAATACTAAGTGATAAGAAGAATAAAGAAGTGATTTCACAACTGGAAAGGTAGCATTCGGAGCTGAGTTTCAGTCGGAGGCTGTTTTCCTATGTCAGTACTATGTCTAGTACTGTCAGGTGGTACATGTACAATTTTACTTAACCATCTTAATATTTGCCAAATTAGTGAGATGAGGATGAGAGAAAAATGGGTATAGAGTTGATGAATTTGGCAATAAAGTGATTAAAATAATTGATTCCATAATCCAAGGCTCAGATAATTGAAAGGACTCATAAGACTCCACAGTCCTGTAAGGTTTGGATAAAGATGTATGGTCAGTAAGGCAAAGGAAATAAACACAGACAATCGGAGAGAGCCCCACAGCTTCTAACTTCAGGCTCTCATTCCTGCTTTAACACACACGACATGCTATGTGTTCAGATTATGAAATATCAAGAAATTTGGAAAATATCTTGGTTTCAAGAAAGCTACAGCACAAGTTGGGCTTCCTTGATGGCTCAGATGGTAAAGAATCTGCCTGCAATGCAGGAGACCTGGGTTTGGTCCCTGGGCTGGGAAGATCCCCTGGAAGAGGGCATGGCAACCCACTCGAATACTCTTGCCTGGAGAATCCCAGGACAGAGGAGCCTGGCAGGCTACAGTCCATGGGGTCACACAGAGTCGGACAAGGCACAGACAGCACCCGTTTCCTGGGGGTCTTTGTACCATGCTGGTCACATAGGCAAAATCAGTCTAACAGCCAAGGAGGTTCAAATCATTGATTCATACATTTTCTCTAAACAATGTAGACAAATTAGCACTGCTTAGCTTCCAGAGCAGTGTGGACACTAAACAGCACATTATAAATCACCACACAGCACATCCCATCCTAATNTTTCCTGGGGGTCTTTGTACCATGCTGGTCACATAGGCAAAATCAGTCTAACAGCCAAGGAGGTTCAAATCATTGATTCATACATTTTCTCTAAACAATGTAGACAAATTAGCACTGCTTAGCTTCCAGAGCAGTGTGGACACTAAACAGCACATTATAAATCACCACACAGCACATCCCATCCTAATCTTGGCCAAGGGGCAACACCATCCTTCCAGAAGTCCCTAGAGGTAAGCATATTTCTCCCCAGGATCAGATGCAAGTTCACTGTTTCCTTATATAACTGGATAGGGAAATAATTTAAAATATGAGGAGGTTACTAGAAAAGGAGAAAGTTTCAGTATCCAAAGATTGCGAGAGAACAAGAAGGTGTCAAACACTGTAAAGGATCTGAGATGTTGCTCTACTAACAAGCTGACAGGTTAGCCTGTCTAGTCTCTGGGTGTTGGCAGAAGACACAAGAGCCCTGAATCAAAGACAGAGACAAGAGGTGAAGGACTTATTATTCATTACTCCTTGCACAGCAGGTAGCATGAACTGAATGTCCGCATTATTTCCTCTTTCCCCCCAAGTCTCACAGCATAGTGTGGAGCAACCCAGACGAATGCTGCCTGCACAGCTGATCCATACTCTAGTTAGAAACCCCAGCTTAGGAGACATTCAGTGAAGGAAGGGCTGGGAAGAGACCGGAAGCAAACATCATTTTTATAATCCTGATGTGCAAAAAGCAGACACTGCCTCTATAGCCCAAAGTTATTATATACACCTCCTTAAAAAGATAATCTGGAATAAAAAACTGTTAAATGTATGCAGAAGCATGAGAGATCCATGATTTTCTAAAAAGAAAGTTGTGAAAATATGACTAGGAAGAAGATTTTTTTCTTTTTAAGTGTTTTCACGGTGAGACAGTTCTCTGCAATCTGAATTCTAGGGCATGTCAACTGAGTGAGTTACTAAAGTGGAGCTGAGTGATGGTAGCTGGGGATATAAGGAGCTAAGAAAATTGAAAGGTTAGGATACTAGATATGTCATGCATGAGGCATTTGAGAGTTTTCATGCTATTGGTAGAGTGATGGTGTAGACTAGGATTTGGTGCTGAAGCCTGCAATTAATACAGGAGAAAATGACAGCTATTCAGAGTAGGAAAGGTTGGCATTCTTGATTATCCCTGGAACGATCTTGAAGCATCAGGGTAAAAAAATGATGTTCATGCATGCTCAGTTGCTAAGTCGTGTCAGATTGTTTGTGACCCCATGGACTGTTCTTGGGATTATCTAGGCAAGAATACCAGAGTTGGTAGCCATTTTCTTCTCCAGGGGATCTTCCCAACTTAGGGATCGAACCAGTGTCTCCTGCATTTCCTGCACTAGCAGGCAGATTCTTTACCACTGAGCCACCTGGGAAGCCCAGAGTGAGGATATCCACCCCAATTCTAGATCCATGAGTGAACAGATCCATGGGAGAACTGGGTATATCTACTTTCTGTTGCTGCCATAACACATTACAAACAATAACCATTTATTATCCTGTGTGTGTTAGTGGCTCCGTCATGTCTGACTTTTTGCGACCCCATGGGGTGTAGCCCACCAGGCTCCTCCATCCATGGGATTCTCCAAGCAAGAATACTAGAGCGGGTTGCCATTCCCTTCTCCGGGGGATCTTCCTCTCCCAGGGATCGAACCTGGGTCTGCTGCATTGCAGGCAGACAGTTACCATCTGAGCCACCAAGGAAGCTATATTTATTATCCTAGTCGTCTGTAAATCAGAAGTATGAGTGCAGTCTGGTTCAGGTGAACCTTCTGCACTGATTCCCACAAGACTGAAATCAAGGTGTTGGAGGGGCTGTGCTCCCTTGCGGAGGGTCTGGGGTTGAATCTGCCCCTAAGTTCATCTGGATGTTGGCCAAGTTCATCTCCACACATTCACAGAACTGTGGCCCTCGTTGGACTAAGGTCTCTCTTTCTTTACTGGGTGTGGGTAGTAGGCCAACCTTTGTTCTTAGAAGCTGCCCACATCCTGTTCCCTGCTCTCTCATATGGCCCTTTCTAGAAACAGTGGTTGGAGAAAAATGTGTGCTTCAAATCTACCCTTTGTATTGCATCTCTCTGATTCCTGCTGGAGAAAGTTCTGCTCTTAAAGGCCCATGGGATTAGGCCAGACCCACCCAGATAAGCTCTGGTGATCTATTGTAAGCCTCCTAACACCAACTGTTCCTGCATGGTCCCTCTTTGTGTCATGCACAGTATATTCACAGGTTCTGGTGATTAAGATGTGATGTTTTTTGAAGGCCAGGATTCTGACTAGCATGAGAGGATAATGAGAACTTTTGCTTGAGATGATGACAGAGCACATATTTTAAGTGGATAAGGGTGTATGGATAGATTCTGATCCATCACTGGGGTTTTTCATAATGTGCAGAACAAGGGAAAAAGGATTCTGGGGTCAACACTCAAGATCATTGTAGGAGTAGTGTTAGTCACTCAGTCGTGCCGGACTCTTTGCGACCCCATGGACTGTGGCCCACCAGGCTCCTCCATCCATGGGATTCTCCGGGCAAGAATACTGGAGTGGGCTGCAATTCCCTTCTCCAGAAGATCTTTCTGACCCAGGGATCAAACCCACATCTCCCACACCACAGGCAGATTCTTTACAATCTGAGCTACAGGGAAGGCCAAATCAATATCATAGGAGGGTGTAGAATCAAGATAGGATTTTTGGGTTGTCTAAATTCCTGGACACCATCAAGTTCCCAACAGTATTTCTTAAATGTGAAAAATATACTAATCTTACAAAGTACTTAAATTTTGAGGTCTCAGGAAGAAAATGAAAGGAACATAATAATATGTTGAAGCCCAAGCAAAGCTAATGTTAGGACAAAGAGAGAAGCTATTTTGTAATTCTCAGGTTGTGTTATTCAAGCTTTTGTTCTAACCTAGTGGAGCACCTCTTTCAGCAGGTTAAGAGGTCCTGCTAACCTGACTTGCTCATGGGATTTGATTGTCTTGCACAATCTGGGTTATGCTTCACTTTCTTAAGATGACTGCCCTGTAATGTTCATTCTCTCTGCCTCCATTATTTGGTGTCCTGTCTGAATGGGAACAATTCCTCCTCTATGTGTAGGCGAATACCGTTGAATTATTTGAGTCATGTTGGAGTGCTATTCTTATTTATGATACGTCCCTCAACATAATGCCCTATCTGGAAGCTGTGAGTATGTCACCCAAGGGTGATGGAGATCTCCAAATAGTCAATTTCCAGAGTTGTAACTGGCACTTGCTTTAAATTGGTGTGATTATGTCTAAGCCATGAGATTTGAAAGGACGGTGCTGACACACACAGACCCTTTCTATCGCAAGGGATCAAACCCACATCTCCCACACCACAGGCAGATTCTTTACAATCTGAGCTACAGGGAAGGCCAAATCAATATCATAGGAGGGTGTAGAATCAAGATAGGATTTTTGGGTTGTCTAAATTCCTGGACACCATCAAGTTCCCAACAGTATTTCTTAAATGTGAAAAATATACTAATCTTACAAAGTACTTAAATTTTGAGGTCTCAGGAAGAAAATGAAAGGAACATAATAATATGTTGAAGCCCAAGCAAAGCTAATGTTAGGACAAAGAGAGAAGCTATTTTGTAATTCTCAGGTTGTGTTATTCAAGCTTTTGTTCTAACCTAGTGGAGCACCTCTTTCAGCAGGTTAAGAGGTCCTGCTAACCTGACTTGCTCATGGGATTTGATTGTCTTGCACAATCTGGGTTATGCTTCACTTTCTTAAGATGACTGCCCTGTAATGTTCATTCTCTCTGCCTCCATTATTTGGTGTCCTGTCTGAATGGGAACAATTCCTCCTCTATGTGTAGGCGAATACCGTTGAATTATTTGAGTCATGTTGGAGTGCTATTCTTATTTATGATACGTCCCTCAACATAATGCCCTATCTGGAAGCTGTGAGTATGTCACCCAAGGGTGATGGAGATCTCCAAATAGTCAATTTCCAGAGTTGTAACTGGCACTTGCTTTAAATTGGTGTGATTATGTCTAAGCCATGAGATTTGAAAGGACGGTGCTGACACGCACAGACCCTTTCTATCGCTTTAATGCCTTTCCCCCATCATAGATCCAAACAACATTTTTATCTCTTGACTGAATATGACAGCTCTGTGATTCCTTTTTCTCTGTGAATCCAATTAATCTGTCTCTGCTTCTGAGCTTTTTAATTTTTTGGCATACTCCTTTTCTTTCTTTCTTTTCTAAACAAGTTGTTTACATTCTCAGAATGTTTATCTTTAGATCTTTATGCTTTTCTGCTTTTCAGATTACTTGCCCTTTTATCCCAGCTTCCTTTTATGGGTTTACTAATGATCAGCCTCACCTCTCGGACTCTAGACCCAGACTTTGATTTAGTTTTTTCTCTCATACATGCACTGGAATTACTTGAGGAGCATTCAATAGCTCACTTAAAAGAAGCAGACAAAATAATCCTGACAAAGTCTCAACATTGATTTTGTACTCTGTAAAGGTTTACAAGAGCTTAATGTGAATGTTATGAAAACTAAGAGCATCAGACAGCTAATTGTTTCCACCGATAATCTTTAAGAAAGAGATAAAAAGAGACACAAAGAAAAGAATCAAAAGTCATTTGTAAGGACATATGAAATCTACTGATGTAGCAGTTACAGAAAGCAACTGGGCTGAAATATGTCATGGTTCATTCCCTTCATGAAACTCATTTACAAAAACTTTAAGTGAGATAATATATGTAAGCTCACATGCAGCAAAATGTTTTATAAATCTTCACCCTCTGATATGATAGCCCATGCTATATATGGCTGTTGAGCACTTGGAATGTGATATGACTGAGGAACCAAATTTTAACTTTATTTAGTTTAAATTAAATAGCATGTGTGGCTAGTGGCTATTGTGTTGAACAGATTGGCTCTAGCATGTAAAATCCATGCAGTCAGAACTCTCCTCTACCCTTATCCTATTTATAAATGTAACACCACTGCACAGAACAGTGCCAATCAGTTGGCAAAATCTCTATTAATTCTTGTAACAGGGATCCAGAAAATTAATCATTATGTGTCAAACCTGAAAACAGGGAAAAATCCATCCAGCTCAACAGATTTGGAGATGAAAAGCAACTGGTCTCAAAATTTGTAATAAACACATTTTAAAGATTTCATATTTCAAGCAGGGTTAGTAACTGTATGGAACTATTATACAAAATGAATGTTAACATTATTAATGAAACCCACATCCATGGACATGATAAAAAATAAAATGGACACTACTCCAAACAGCAAGAATTTCATTTTTGAAAAGTCATTCAGTTTAAACATTCTTGAAGACCGATACAAGTTTTAACAAATTTCTAGACTTCATGCTTATATACATGAGGTTAATATCAGGAGTATTTACGTAATAAATTAAAACACTGACAACAGCTCTGATAAGATGCTCATTCAGATCTCTCTCTACCTGCCCTGTCAACTTGATGTGAGGGCTGCAAGAGGTACTTTGGTATCTCACAAAATTATTGACATCTTTTCCTAACTCTCTAAGTCAGCTGTCCCCTATGCTATTGAATCATCTTTCAAACTGACGTCAAGTGTGGATCAGAAAAGTCTGCCCCATGGTGATTTATCTAAGTACTTCTCCAATTTAAAGTCATCGTTTTGATCTAAACTCAAGTGTATTTCTCTTTCTGATATCCAAGTTCACAGTTTCCACTAAAGACCCAAAGTGTGGTTGGATAAGAGATATGTATATAAAAACCTCATATTTTGCAGCTTTTAATTTTGCTAGCAATTCTCTTTCAGAATAATCATTTAATTTTTCCCCTTAGGGAAGAAAGCATTCACTCACTCATTTATTCATGTACTTTTCACAAGACTGTAGTAAATACCAACTGTCTTTCAGAACCTCTGCTGAATTCTGAGGGCACAGAACAGTGAGGGAGCCCCATCCTGCTCTGTAGACCATTAAGAACAAGGACTGGAGTATCTGGAGGAAAACCAAGTGTGATCCACCCACTCGTCATCCACTGATGTGTCTAGTCCAGATGTGCATGACCTACACTGTTTTCTTCCCTCTCATTCATATCCTGCAAACAATGAACCACTAAGTCCTCTTGGATTTCACTGTCTCTCCATTCTGACTTCATGATATCTGACCAGGACAATTTGCATAGCCTGCTTACAGTCTATTTCATATCATATTTCACCCAGTTACAGTATGAGTGTATGCTAAGTTAACTTTAGTCATGCCCAACTCTTTGCAACCGCATGGACAATAGCCTGCCAGGTTCCTCTGTCCAGGGAATTCTCCTGGCAAGAAGATTGGAGTGGGTAACCATTCCTTCTCCAGGGGATCTTCCCAACCCAGGGATCAAACCCACATTTCTTTCATCTCCTGCATTGGCAGGCAGATTCTTTACCACTAGCGCCACCTGGGAAACTCTTCCACATTCCAGCCCTAGTTGTATATTTAGATTGTAATTCATATTTTCTCTTTCCTCATCTCAAAATCCTCCCAGGCTACCCTTGGCAACCTGAATACCCTGAATATTCATTGGAAGGACTTATGGTAAAGCTGAAACTCCAATGCTTTGGCCACTTGATGTGAAGAACTGACTCCTTGGAAAAGACTCAGATGCTGGGAAAGATTGAAGGCAAGAGGAGAAGGGGACAACATAGGATGAGATGGTTGGATGGCATCACCAACTCAATGGACTTGAGTTTGAGCAAGCTCCTGGAGTTAGTGATGGACAGGGAAGCCTGGTGTGCTGCAGTCCATGGGGTTGAAAAGATTTGGACAGGATTGAGCGACTGAACTGACTGACTGACCCTTGGGGACAGTCCATGGGGTTGCAGAGTCAGACATGACTGAGTGACTGTGTACACACACACATCCTTGGCAAACTAGAGCTCTAGGGCCAAACATAGCCCATGGCTTATTGTACATTCTATGACCTTAAAATGTGTCTTACAATCCTAAAGGGAAGAGGAAAGAGGAAGAAGGGTGCAGGGAGAAGGAGGAGGAACAGGATAATTTACAACATAAATTTACAAATGGGAGGATCCCCGTGCCACTGCCAAAACCTACAATATTTACCATCATCCCTTTATAGAGAAAAGATAATACAAAACTTACTTTGTTGCCATACAAGAACTTTTACCATTCAAGTTAAGAGTTTCAGGACCCTGATATCTATATTTCAGCCTTTTGTTTTTCATTGCCGCAAAATGGAGGTAAAGTTAGTACCTCTTTCATAGAATTGTTCTTATAATTAAAGAAGATAATGCATGCAAAGTATTTAACAAAGTCCCTATGCTGGACTTGCCAAGTGGCGTGGTGGTAAAGAATCTCCCTGCTAATGCAGGAAGGGTAAGAGACACAGGTTCAACCCCTGGGTTCAAGTCCTGGAGTAAGAAATGGCAACCCACTCCAGTATTCTTGCCTGGAAAAATCCCATGGGCAGAGGAATCTGGCGGGGTACAGTCCATGGGGTTGCAGAGAATCGGACAGGACTGAGTGAGCACACACGCATTGTGCAGATAGATCCCACTGCTGACTCATCCCTCACGCCCATCACTGAGGCTGGCCCCGAACAGTGCCTGCATCTCCTGTCCCTGAGGATTTGCACACCTAGCTCCTTCTGTGTTGAAAACATTCCATGCCTTAAGCTGCTGGAAGTATCTACACAGCTTTCTAGTTTCTGCTCAAATACCTCTTCCCATCCTGCATGTCAATACTTGTCTTCATTTGCCTGTAACAGTGATCGTTTCCCTGTAATCCCTCCATACTGCTTGACCATTCCTTCTAGAAATAAACCTATCAGTGCCCTTGCCTCTGCCAGACTAACCACTTGACTCTTGACTTCTTTATGCTAGAAAGTATCTGTTTATCTTGTGTGCTGAGTGCTAATCTGACATACTGTAAATTTAACCCCCCATAAATATTTATTTACTTAACACATTGAGGGGAGGCAACACTGGATTTTAAATCTGTTTGAGAATTATCCATTCTTCCTATCAATTGTTGCATTCATTCTGTCTCCAGGGCTGGCTAAAATGTCACTGATTAAGGACATGATGAAGAGTCTAGTAATCCTTTATTCTTGCTTTCAGAAGGTTTTCTCCTCATTTAGTTATTAAACTGTTATTTGCCCCTTTGTGAACATTTTTTTCTGAAAAGAGAATAAGATTTTCCTGGCTTAGTAATGTTCATCTTCTGAGCAATTCACTACATAAAACCGATGAAGCTGTCCAATTGTGTTAGGCACTAATTTTTTACTTCCCTGCTTAGGTAATAAAACACAACAGTGCGAGCATAAGAGTCTAATAAGGACACACCTTGGTAGTTGTTAGGAATATGAGTAAGCATTAACTGCCTTTAACAACTCTGAGTTGTTATTATGAGATTGAAAAAATTCCTGGGGTGAATTATTATGGTTATGAAAAATAATCTGACAAAAGACATAAAAGTAATATATTTAAATAAAATTTCTTATAAATGAATATCATCATGCATGGATAATAAATTCACTTTAAGGTTTTAAGAAGAATACTGTCTTGAGAAAGTTGCAAACTTTCAAGAACAACAATAAAAAGTACATAGAGGCTAGGACCATACCATACTGCATCTTGGGGACTTATTTAGACTTAGAGAAAGTCAAGGTTTTACTACCTCTCTGCCTTCAAAGAAACTTGAAGTAGTAATTCTCAGGTCCCTTGGGTGAAATCCTAGAGGATCATCAGTTAATATTCTTTCTCTAGTCTGCCTCTTGCCCTTCTCACCAGCTATTCAGGACTTCCTGGTGAGTTACATTCTATGCTAAGTTGCTTTAGTCATAACCGGCTCTGTGTGACTCCATGGACTGTATTCTGCCAGGCTCCTCTGTCCTAGGGATTCTCCAGGGAAGAATACTGGAGTGGGTTACCATTTCCTTCTCCAGGAGATCTTCCTGACCCAGGGATCAGGGGTGATCTTACCGACCCAGAGATCAAATCCTCGGCCCTTTTATCTCTCTGCATTGGCAGGCAGGTTCTTTACCACTAGCGCCACCTAAGAAGCCCGAGGTTACAATCCAAAATTCCCGAGTTAGGATCCTCCAAGACTGATATTTAATGACTATAGTGTCTTGAAAGAAGAGCACGAAAGCCTCAGACCAGGACATATGCATATTTTGGTTATTGACAGTTGGTATGTAAAGCAGTTTTTTGTTAACATTTTTATTTGATGTGCAGTAAACAAGGTCATTTTCCCTCGAATGTCCCATAGAGGATAGGAACTGAATTTCATTAAGGTCTTATTCAGAGACAATTTGCATAACAAGTATCAACATCTATTTTAAAGTAAAATAGATTACAAAGTGGCAAAGCTGTTTACTAACCAAATAGCTGATCCCTGTCTTCCTGACTCTTCCTTTGGAATTAGTAGTTAAAAGTTATTAACATATTCAATCATTTAGACTCACAATAATGAAAATTTTATATGGTTGGAACTACATTATTACAATAAAGTCAAATTAATAAACGATCAATTCAACATTGTGTAAGTATAAAAACTTTTCTCTTCGGTTTCTTTTAAAAACTAACTGACCTTGATGTAGGAGTTAATGTTTCTTGCTATAAACAGTAAAGCAGAATAAAAAAAAGAGGTCATATAATTAAAGGCACAAAGTGTGGAAGGGCTTCTGTAAAAATCCTGACTCAAAATGAATTGAGAGAAGACAATGGCAACCCACTCCAGTATTCCTGCCTGGGAAATCCTCATGGTTAGAGCAGCCTGGTGGGCTACAGTCCATGGGGTCACAAAAGAGTCAGACACGACTTGGTGATTAAACAACAACTACATGAGGAATTGGTTATTGTTCACCAGTCCACATGGAGTACACCAACCTTTGACTATGATCTGATTCTTAGTCACTTATTTTACAAATGAAATCCNTTATATATAGACACACAAGCAAAAGTGAAAGTGAAGTTGCTCAGTCATGTCTGACTCTTTGTGACTCCGTGGATTGTAGCCTACCAGGCTCCTCTGTCCATGGAATTTTCCAGGCAACAGTACTGGAGTAGGTTGCAATTTCCTTCTCCAGGGGATCTTCCCAACCCAGGGATGAAACCCAGATCTCCTGCTTTGCAGACAGACATTTTGCCATCTGAGAGACCAGGGAAGACTATATGTATAAGTATATATATATAAAGATATATATATAAAGGTATATATATATATGTATAAAGATATGTGTGTGTGTGCTAAGTCGCCTCAGTCGTGTCCGACTCTCTGTGACCCCATGGACTATAGCCCACCAGACTCGTCTGCCTATGGGATTGATCAGGCAAGAAAACTGGAGTGGGTTGACATGCCTTCCTCCAGGGGTTCTTCCCAACGCAGGGATCAAACCCACGCCTCTCATGTCTCCTCATTGGCAGGCAAGTTCTTTACCGCTAGCACCACCTGGGAAGCCGGTACAATGATGGTGTCACCAGGCAATCGTGATCATTGGCGTGACTACTGCAAGGACAAAGAGTGGTCATGTGCACCCTGAAAGCTATCCTGGGCTGCATGACTGACTCACCACAAAACTTGCTCTTTCCAGAGGCTGTAACACCCCACTCCTTTCCTACTCAAGTCTCAGATCCCAGAGCACATCCAAGGTCCCCTCACCCACCTTCCTGAGGCCGATCTGGAGGCTGCGCTGGGCGGGGGGGGTCTCATCCTCCCCTCTTCTCTGTATTTCCCTCAGCTCAGCTGGCCGAGGAGAGGAGGGCTGTTTCCCCGGGTCTGCCTCAACCTCAGCCCAGGAAAAAGCCCCTGTCCCAGCTCCAGCCCAGCTCTTAAGGTTACTATAGCAACCATCAGGCTTATTCTCTGGGGCTTCAAGTTTATCTTTGGAGACTCTGGCCACGCCAGGGCCCCGCCTTTTCTCCTGACACGTGCTCCTTTATTGCCAGTTTCGTTTAAAACTAAAAGAGGGAGAACCCTTGAGAACAGAGAAGCAACCCCCAGTGCTCCCTTCAAACGTGCACCCTTCATCTCTTCTGACGGTGGGAAGGCAGAACAGCTGACTGATGAGACAG